TCTGGAACTTTATACAGAGTCAGATTTGAGTTCAAAGTAGAGGGAACTGAACTAATACATGTAGAAGTTTTTGTGGGGTTGTTTGTGGTGTGTTTTTAAAGAAGAAATCCTTAACTGGATACTCTTGTTTCTTCTACTAGAATATAAATAAAACCATATCACAATCCAGAGGAGCTTGCTTTATCACAAACATTATATCTGTACTGGGCTACAAGGAACAGAGAACTAAAATAAAATCTCTTCTTTAAACATGTTATATTTTAGATAATATTAAGTATAGAGTAGTCTCTTCTCATGAAATTTTGCTCAAGAAAAATCTCCATTTTGAAGTAACACCATATTCCTTTCTCAGGTTTATTGTTACTCTGGCAGAGTCTATCAGTATCATGAGCCACACCGAGTACTGACTTTAGGTAGTTACTTAGGAAGAACAGAACAAAACAAAACACCTTGCTTGTTGAAATTAAAAAGTGAAGGAAAACAAAGAAGTCTCATCATTTCCCTAGTTTATCACCAAGTAACTACTGAGAGAGGGAGGGGCAGGTGATTATTATATGAATAAAGATGATTACATTAGTTCTATCATGCCACCAACATCATGTATCATAATTTTTAAAAGGTTATAGTGAATACATAGGTCATTAACTAAGAACACTCTGAAAACAACCTGACAGTAAAGACAAAGAACAAGTAATAGTCCAGTCAAATCAAACATTCTTAAGACCAATACTTGTTACAAAAATAAGCTAGCTAGAAAGTCTTTTTTTTAAAAAATAATTCAAATGGGAACTTCACATTAATTTAAAAAAAAAAAGTGAACCCGTCAATTTGGATCCAGCTTACCTCTTACTGTGAACAAGCACAGAGGTAGAAAAGTCTGAGTCAGTAGCTAAAAGCCTCAATAATCCAAAACAGATAAATGGATTGTAAATCATTAACACATGTATTTTCTATGCAAACCTAAACCCAGATTTGGGCACATCTACTCCCCATAATTCAGTTTCTACTTCTACATAGTCTTATAAGCTTATGATTCAGCCACTGTATTGTATATATTGTAAATATCAAGCATTTACACTCTAAAACATTCCATGTATATGCAAACTGACATGTTAATCATACATTACCTTACCAACTCACTAAAGTTGCAGCCCATGGTGCTTTATGTACCAATACTTTGTATTTAGACTTAATTGCATATATCTGAAAGTAATGAATCTAATGCAGGTTAAAACACAATTTTCTATATGTACTATCTAATGATTCTGATTATCCTGCTCCGATTTAGAAATCACTGACACTACTGAATGAAATTAAGTTCCGTAAGATGGTAACTTGAGTACAAACAGATCTGCATCTCCCAGTATAAAAGATACCTTTATCAGCACAAAAACCTTGAGAAAGGTATTAGCGATACCCCAAACCTCCAGGGATTTCTATAACATACAATAAAGGACTATTACAGGGAAAGGCAAACCCACCAGACTTATCGAACGTAAAAGAACAACCTGTCTGTCTAGGAGACATGACATCTAATAGAACAAAGAATGGACTTAAGAGTAGGCATTTAGTGCAAGACATATAATCCAAATCCCTTAAAAGCCTTTGGAAAGTGAGATACATATCAAAGATTTAACCCAGCTATCATCTAGGAATTATACTTGAGAAAACTGGACAAATATGCAAAGATTATGTTTAAATATGATAATCACCATAATTTATAGTAAATCAATAAATGTGAAACTATAAATAATCTAAATATTCATTAATAAACTGATATATGATTTTATTCAAATAATGGAATATTACTTGTATGTAAATTTTCACTGACAAGGAGTGAGCTCCATAACATACAGCTGACGGAAAAAAAAAGATTAAAAATGACATATATACATCACTCATCATCAGGGAAATGCAAACCAAAACTACAAAGAGGTATTACCTCACACCTGTCACAATGGCTAAAATCAACAACACAAGAAATAACAGGGGTAGGTCAGGATGTGGAGAAAAAAGAACCTTATGCAGTGTGAGTGGGAATGCAAACTGGCACAGCCAATGGAAAACGGTATGGAGCTTTGCTCCAAAATTAAAAATAGCATTACCCTAGGATCTGGGACTCACACTACTGGGTATTTACCCCAAAATACAAAAACCCTAATTCAAAGGGATACACGCACCCCTACGTTTATAGCAGCATTACTTATAATAGCCAAATTATGGAAGCAGTCCAAGTGTCCATCAACAGATGAACAGATAAAGAAAATGTGGTATATACAATGGAACGTTACTCAGCCATAAAAAAAAGAATGAAAGCTTGCCATCTGCAACAACATGGATAGAGCTAGAGAGTAGAATGCTAAGTGAAGTAAGTCAGAGAAAGAAAAATACCATATGATTTCACTCATATGTGGAATTTAAGAAACAAAACAAAGGAGAAAAAAGGGAGAAAGATGAACCAAGCAACAGACTCTTAATTATAGAGAACTGATGGTTACACAGGGGAAGAAGTTGGGGGGATAGGGGAAATGGGGATGGGGATTAAAGAGTACACGAAAATCCATCTCCAGCAATTCTACTTTAAGAATTTATCTTAAGGAAATGACAGTACTATTTTCCAAAGACTTATAAGAATGGTAACTGTAATTTAAAATAGCTAACATTTCTTACAAATGATCTCATTTAATCCTCACAACTGCTATTACCTCCATTTTACAGTTAACTTGTTCAAATCACATAGTATATGAAAGAGCTGGGAGCTGAATAACACGTACAACATATCTTAGTAGAAGAAAGATCACACCTTATAAATTATGCCAAAGGACTCCTGCCTTTATTCAAGGCAAGCAGTGAGGAAGTCACTGGAAGCTGCTGAGCGGGAGAAACAACAGGATCAGGTGTGTATTTTGCTATGTAAAGAGTGGTTGCAGGGAAGACACAAATGAGATGAGAGACACTTGTACACATTAGAGAATTAAATGTAAATGCAGAGAAGACAGATCCAAGAGATGTGAAAAAAACAAAACAAAACAAAACAAAACAAAACAACACTAAACTAAAATCAAAAGGACCAGTGACCAGTTCAACCTGAGCTGTTAAGGAGAAGGCAGTATTAAGAATGACTCATAGGTTTCTGACCCAAGCGAATGTGTGAATGAGAGTGCTCTTTACGTTACAGGGGGAGAGAGAAAAAGCCAAATATTAAGCATGTTAAGTTTAAGGTGATTATGGAGCCTCAAGAGGAACACCCGACTGCATTTGTAAGTGTGTATGTGGGCGGGGGAGGACGGGGAGGAAATAAAGCTTTGGGCTTCAGTAGCCATATTTTAATTGCGACCATGGCCAGCAGAGGAGATCGTGCAGGGAGAGTGAGAACAAAGATGTCAGAAATCAAGGGAATACTGCTGTTTTAAGAAGAGATGGTCCAAAAGAAGCTCACAGGGAGACTGAGAAGGAGAAATCAGACAAGGAGAAGGACACAGCTGTTGCAGAAAGTCAAGAAAAGAGTTTCAAGCAGGGAAAGCGTTTCCAGTGAGTTAGTGCTCAGAGAAGTCCCGACAGTAAAGTCTTAAAAGTCTTTCTTTGATTTAGCAATGAAGTGACTGTGGACAGGGTGGTTTAAAATGACATCTATATTATAGTTATACATACAGAGAAAGAACTGCACAAATTATCACCAAAATGCAAATGAAATGAGGGTTGCCTCTGGGTGGTTAGATACTTGATAATTTTTACTTTCTTCTTTATAATTACTGATGTTGCTTAAATTTTCTAAATAAATACATACTGTCTTTGTTATAGGAAAACCATGTTCTTTGTGTTGAAAAAAGAAAGTATATTTAGTTTTTTTTAATTTAAAAAAATTTTTAATTTTTTAAATTTCTTTTCAGTGTACCAGAATTCATTATTTATGCATCACACCCAGTGCTCCATGCAGTACGTGCCCTCCATAATACCCACCACCAGGCTCACCCACCTTCCCACCCCCTGCCCCTTCAAAACCCTCAGATTGTTTTTCAGAGTCCATAGTCTCTCATGGTTCATCTCCCCCTCCAATTTCCCTCAACTCCCTTCTCCTCTCCATCTCCCCATGTCCTCCGTGTTATGCTCCACAAATAAGTGAAACCATATGAAAATTGATTCTCTCTGCTTGACTTGTTTCACTCGTATATTTAGTTTTTAATACTACAATTCCACTTGGGAGATTATCTTGAGAAAATAATTGAAAAATGCATGAAAATATAGATTCAAAGTTATCTATCCCAGCACTATCTAGAATAGTGAAATACCAGCAATAACCTAAATGATCAGTAGTGAATCTGTTAAATAAATTCAGGGTTAACTGTGTAATGGCATACTATAGAAGTCACTAAAAATGAAGACAAAGATATATTCATTACTAGTTCAGTGATCTTGGAAATAATACATATCCTCTAGGAATCAGTTTCCTCATCTGTAAAATGGGAATAAAAAGAACACTTACCTCATAGTGCTTTATCTAGCTTATTAGCTATATCCTACTGTGATTGGAAATAAAAAAACCTGATGTTCATGAGCTTCCTTCAACATCACGTACCCCTATTTCAAAACCGACTTTGCTCTATGCTTTTAAAAAATACTTCAAAATCAACATTCAACTTGGCCATAAATCAAATTAAGAAGATATGCATCTAAGACCACAAAGGCAATGAGTACCAAAGTTGAAAACAGGAAATTCCTATAACTTCTATTCTGTTTTTTAAAGACTCCTATAAATATCACGAGCTAATGCTTATTTATTCACCCACGCATGTAGAAAACAGTGCCTGGAAGACAGAACAGGGCTGATCCAGATGCTTATGGGCCCTGGGGCCAGTACGAAATCACCTAGATTACGGTGACAGAGGGAACTGGATCCCTGCTTAACCCAACAACACAATTTATACAGACATACTGGTTAGCTACATCAGTTTTACCATCACTGTCCGTTTATTTTGTTGCTTTAAGCAGCTGAAACCAACCTGCCATGGTCTCTCCCAATCGAGTGGAATAGGAAAGGCTCCAAGCCATGTTCCTATAAAGCTAGAAATTGTAGTGATCTGAAGACTGTTCTCCCAAATGGATGTAACTCTGTAAAACACAAATATGTAAATCACTGGTGGTATCTCTCTTAGCTGCTAGAGAATCAAAAAGTAGTGCCAATAACACTACACATACAGGTTCTGTTCATTTAACAACCAGCTCGAATTGACATCTACTTAACCCTGAACTATTAACAACCAATTAGGAAGATGATATAAATGTTTTTCAGTTGGAAAGGTAGTATGTACACATGGTGAGAGTCAAACAATTGGAAAGAGCATTTGCAATGAAAGCTAAGTCTTCCTCCCACCCTTATCAACTCTGGTTCCTCTTCCCAGTAGCAGCTGTGATTACCAACAGAGTACATATCCTTCCAGACGTAATAATAATTTATGCATGCACAAATATGTTTGGAATGATATATGCATAGATGTATACATCCGTTATCAAAACTCAAATGCATCATGTTATAAACCCAGTTTTGCTATTTTGTTTTGCCTTGTTAACAGCTATACTAGTACTCCATTACATGGAGCGACCATCACTTATTCAACTAGTCCTTCCTATGGCACATTTCATTTAAACAGATCAACTCTATTTGGTGGAGGAGGGATAGAGAAAGAACAAAGGATAGAGAAAGAACAAAAGATTTCAAAAGATCCAGCAATTTCGCCTACCATTCTTATTTATTAAGTGTGTATCTTAGAACATAAAGGTGAAAAGACAATTCTGCCATTCTCTGCTCCTCAGAGTGTGACCACTCAGCCGTGTGGAGCATGAGTCTGGTTACAGAAAAGTAAAACCCCACCACAACGTAGTACATCGGGTTCCAAATATTCAGTTGTTTAAAATGCAAGGTTGACTTATTATCAAGTTTATGAGAAGCAGTTTTTTCCAGCAAGTGTGGGAATTACTGAAGACATCTGTTTGTTAGAGGATTTCTTTCATTAGAAACAGGCCAGACACGTAAAATATACATTGAATTAAAGTAGCCCCAAATGACACATCAGTTCATAAGCCAATCCCTCCATCAACTGTCTCTCTCATTACTGCCCCTCCCCCATCCTACAAAAGATAAGAACTTCAGCTCTTGAAATCGATTTTCTGGAAGAAGATTAGAGCCAACTGCCATAGGTCCAAATTCATATGACTTTCTAGGCAATTGTTATTGTTCTTTTTTATTTTATATAATACCTAAAAATGCAAGTCAATTTCTTTAGCCAGCATTCAACAAGAGAGCCATTTCAATCTCGGAGGGGAAAAAAAAAACTGATGAGTTTAACGTAAAGAGGTAACTGTACTGTTTGGACAATTTAAAGGATTTCCTAGGTTATTTTTGACCATCTGTGGCCGTCAAATGTTGGCTAGTTTTCACTTAACACACAACTCCTGTATGTCGCAATACATAATGTGTCTAGAGACATAAAGTCTGGGAGAGGTTGAGAGCCAGGTTTACTTTCTGCTGGGAGGGGTTTACTTCTTCCATTTTGTGGAAGAGGAAGTTGCGCCAGAACTGGAAGAACCAGTGGCATGTGGGCATGATGAACTGGAGAAAGCCTCGCACTGCAGGTAGAAAGAAGGAAAGTAAGATTGGTTGAGGCTGAGTGAAGACGACGAAACAAGGCTGGAAAAGTAGGTCAGAGTTAGGATTTTTAAAAATAACATCTTCGCTGAATACAGTGAAAATCTGCCCCAGATAACCTTTCCCCAGTTCACACGTTTAAAGTGCACAAACCAATGTTTTTCAGTGCATTTACAGCTGCGCAACCATCATCCCAAAACGACACCATTTTACCCGTTACCAATCACTCCCATTTTCCCTTCCCTCCAACCCTAGGCTACCATTAATCTACTATCTGTCTCCATGGATTTGCCTATTCTGAACATTTCATATACATGGAATCATACATCGTCTTTTGTGACTGGCTTCTTTCACTTAGCATAATGTTTTCAAGATCCATCCACTTTGCAGCATACTTCCTTTTTTATTTCCAAATAATAATTTATTATATGGATACAATCACATTTATTTTTCCCATGCATCACTTCCTGGGACATTAGAGTTGTTTTGACTTTTTGGCCACGATGCATAATGCTACTATAAATAGTCACACACAAGTTTTGTGTGGACATATGTTCTGATTTTTCTTGGGGATACAGTAAGAAAAGGAATTGCTGGGTCATATGACAACTATGTCTAACCTTTTAAAGGAACTGCCAGGCTGTTTTCCAAAGCAGCTGAGCCATCTTATATTGCCACTCGCAATGTGTAAGGATTCCAATTTTGCCCCATCCTTGCTAATTCTTGTTATTACTGATCCCAGCCACCTTAGTGGGTGTGAAGCAGTATCTTATTGGGGTAGATTTAGGGTTAGGATTTTGGAAAAACCTGAAAAGTCACACTAAAGAAGCCACTGAAGGTTTTAAATCAAGGGAGATATGATCAGAGCTATGCTTCAACAAGGGTCCGGTACATGGTTTATCTAACATCTAAGCTCCGAGTTCCTTGGGCTAAGGGGCAAGATCCATGCCAGCACATTTTTCATTTTTATAGCACACTGAGGCCATCATTTACAAAATGTGCAAACACATAAGAAGCTATCCTCTATTTTGTTTGATGCATCCAAAGAGGTTTATGATCTTACACATAATAAATATTTTTAAAAATGGACCTAAGACCTAGTTTTAAAAATAGAAAAACTCTGTAACATATCTTTGTAAAATTAAAATTTAATATTCATCAAAATCATAATACATATCAACACCTTCAAGGTCCCAGGTCACAATCAGAGGATGACACCTACTACCAATCCCTCCCTACATCCCTCTCTACTCCTTCCTGATTTCTGCTCCCAAGGCAGACACTGTAAACTCTTCACTGTTTCTTCTATGTACCTCAAAATGTAAAGATCATACATTAGGTATAGACTTTTCAAGATGTAGTTACTCCCTGCTTTCTACCCTGGAAGGAGAGGACATAGTACCCTTTCCCCACAAGCCTGTCATCAACACATACTCATCTCTCCCTGAATCACCATCCCTTCCTGCATGGTAACATTTCCTCTCGGCTGAATCAACAGCAAAGTATCTACATCAGTACGGTCATGAAAACGTTCATGACAGCTGAACCACACAGTAAACCAGTCACATTTCTTTTTTTATAGTAATTTTTTCATGTTCTTTGGATGTTAAGAACTGCCTCGTTTTATCCTCCATTTGTTTATGTACCTGTCACTAAACCATCCTCAAATATTCCAAAGAAACTAAACATCACCTCTAAATACTTGTTTGTGCTCTGTTTTCCTTCTGTCTTTCTTTTTGGAGGCACCTTACCTGCTCCCAGATGGACTGGCCGCTCTCTAGACCTTAGGCATAGCTGCTGTCCTGTAAGTTCCCTACACCATTATCCTGTGAATTCCCTTTGCCTCTCTCAATGCTTTTTGGTGTCCTCCTTCCTAAACTCCCAAGACTTCCTTATACTCTCATTTTTCTTTCCTTTTTTTAAAGTACCTCCTTCAGTAGATTCCTGAGAAAGGGTAAAATAGATTTTAAAAATTGTTTAAAGTCTAAAAAGGACTTGACCGTAACTGTTGGAAATCATTTTGCCTCAGAATTTTGAAGGGATTGGTCCATTATTTTCTGTTTCCCACATGAAAAGTTCAGACATTCTGGCTCCCACTCCTCTCTAGGTAAGATGTTCCTCCCTTCACTGTCCTCTCTGGTAGCCTTTGGAATTTTCTCTTAACTCTTGGTTATCTAAAATTTCACAACCCTATGTCTTGGAGTGGGTGTCTTTTCTCAGCCAGGACGCTGGAAACCCATGGGCCTTCTTAATCAATAATGTCAAGTCTTTTGGTTCTTGGCATTTTCTTTTTAAAGACTTGCTTCTTCTGCCCAGATCCCTTAAGATTGTCTTTTTCTTACTCTTTTGCTGAGAATACTACCATTTGAAATTAACCCTCTGATTTTTTTTTTTACCTTTTAATCCATTTTCCATATTTTTACCTTTTCTGTTTAATTAAAGGAACTTTTTAACTTTTCGTCTCTATTTCTGTTGAAATTTTTTCTCTCCTATTTTTTAATTTCCAAGAGCCTTCTTATTCCCTGAATATTCCTTTTGACTGTCTCCTGTTCATGTCTTACGGATATAAAACAAGACATTTTTAGAATTATCTTCTGGTTTTTATATCACCTTTGTTTCTACCGAGTTTCTTTTTTGTTTTCATTTCTGCATTTCACGTTAGAGGTGTGCCTGAAACGCCTAGTGATTGTTCATTTCTCATTCTACTTAAAAGTAAAATATTTTATATGAAATGTTCAGAACAGGCAAATCTAGAGAGACAGCAAGTATTTCAGTGGCTGCCTGGGAAGGGGGTGAGGGGGTGTGCCAGGGTGGGTAGGAGGGGGACTACTCATGGGCGAAGTTTCTTTTTGGCATGGTAAGATGTTCTAAAATTAGGTTGTGGTGATGGTTACAAAGCTGTGTCTATACTAAAAACCACTGAATTGTATACTTGAAATGGTGGGTTTTATGGTATGAAGTTGTATCTCAATAAAGGTATGTTTAAAAAAAAAAAAACAACAAAAAAGAAGCACACTAAACAGATGACTAGATGTTCACTGTACATGAGCAGCACGAGTCTCCTGGTGGGATTCACTGTACCAGGGAGTGAATAGGAACCCTGCCTTTCAGAGAACCCTCAAATGTCAGTAACTGTAGGTTTTTCTTTTGTGCCGTTTTTTCCCTGAAAGTGCTTCTATACCCTGCCTAGCCTGGCTGTCAGTATTCTGGGCCAAAGGAGTGAAAAGGACTAGGCATGTGAGGATTCATCATTCAATACGTAGAATTTCATTTAATCCCCATTCCCTGAAGAGACTGTACCAAACAGCTGTAGGATCTGGGGCCAGCCAGAGTAGGTGGGGGTAGAGTTGTATTTACTCCATCTTCCCTTCCTCTGCTGTCTAACTTCTATTGCTTATATTACTTTTATAGTGCTCCTATTTTGTTCACTGTAACCCTAATTTGCAACTCCTTTTTTTTAATGTAG